GGACTTGCCCTAAATGATGCCTCTTGATCCGATCATCTACTTCCTTCCACTTGTATTCCGCAATCCCTCCAGCACTGGTGCCGGTCTCTGATCCACCGCAGACTCCTGTCTCTTCCTGTCACATGGTTTCTGTCTGACATGCACACTCCCGGCTGCGTGCATTCAGCTCCACTGTGTCTCTCCTCCTCTCCCTGACGAAGATCTCTACTGCGTATGCGCTCGCTCCATCTCAAGCAGCCGTGCAGGATGAAGCTTCAGATCTTTGGACGGGAGAAAGCAGCAGAGACACAGGTAAGTTTTTACCTTTTTGGTAACTTTTTAAAAATGTTTTTGCATATATCTACTGCTAGCAAGAAGTAGATTTATGCAAAAAGTGTTAAAAAAAAAAACCCCGCTTTAAAAGCGGTTTAAACTCATCTGCATCTTCCCCGCGCGCTCCTGTCCGAAAATGTGAAAATTCTCGGGCGGCCGCAAAGCATCTTGGGGCGAGCGCATGCGCAGTTCACATTTTCGGCCGGGACGCGAGGAGAGACACAAGGTAAGTATATGGACGCATGCACCCGCATGCAGACACCGTGGGACAGGAAGTGCCAGCAAGGACAGAGGAGTCAGCGCTGGATCGAAGACACGCCGCAGCGTTGGAGGGACAGATGAAAAGGACACGAAAGAAGAAGATTGGGTTAAGAAACATAATTTAAGGTAAGTGCTTTAATTACCATTGGGGGGAGGGAAAGGATTTTTGGACTTTAATGTCACTTTAAGCATCTGAGATACTTCCGGGAGTGTCAAATGCCTGGTCCCCCACAGTGCACGGTTCCACCTACCAGTTCCTACATTACTACAGGACACAGTAATGATATCATAGGTTACATGTGGTGACAGGGTCCCTTTAAATAACCCCCCATGTACTTACAGTGAAGTACAAAGAAAAGGCATCACATCACTACCTCCAAAGCACTGGGAGAGATGTCCTCCCATGAAGAAAGCTGTAGACTTTGTAAACTTCAAACCATAGCATATTTCTAAGACCCTGGAAAATGTCCTGTCATTATCTTCTTTTTATAATCACATGAAAGCTTCAGGCAAACAAAAATAAACATTGAATATACATTGGATGCGCTTCAAAGAAATGAAAAATACATCTACTGAGCGATATCCACTGAAGGAGCAAGATGTGAAAACTCATTAGGAAATATATTTATGGACAGGGCTCGGGTAACAAAAACATCGCCTTCACTTTTGCTTTTTATCTATCATATACCTACTAAAACAAGGAATGCTAAAACATTGTGTGTAAGTGTGTGTGCATGCCGGGAAAGGAAGGGGGAATAAGGTTCTGTCACTCCAACCTTCATATAAGTATCATTTCATCTGATACAGATATTGGGTCCCATTTACAAAGAACAGTTTTCACTCTCTCGGCAGGACATCACTGGAGAACGACTTAACACTACGCTGCCATTTCACACGTCATGCATGCAGAGCGCAGTGTGGAGCCTGTCGTCGTGTCTTGCAGTGTGGTCTCTGCAGGAAACACTTTCATATAGGAGGAGAGAACCGTCACTTACCCTGTTTTAGGTCACATGACCGGTTTCCTCCTCCTGGCTCACTTTTCCCCCCATTAATTAGAGCAAATGGGCCTTTGTCGTTGTCACATGCAAATTGCAAACCATTTTTTCCCCGTTGCTTTAGGCTGAGAAGAGCGGCAGTATATACCGTGGTATACCACTGCTTTATAAACGGAAACCCTAACTGTTTAGTGTAGAAGTAAATGCCGGCTATTAGGACACCAACTAGGCACAGAGAAGATAATTAAAAGTTTCATACATTTATCAAAACTGGAGCAGACAAAATCTGGAGCAGCTGTGCACGGCAATCAATCAGCTTCTCTTTCATTTTCAAATCTTTACTGAACAAACTAAAGGGAGAAGCTGATTGGTTGCTCTGGGCAGCTGCTCCACATTTTGTCTGCTCCAGTTTTGATAAATTCCCCTCATCATCTTTTATGCTGACTTTGGTGTATCAAGGCTAACTATTCCATCGTTCTTTGATCTGTCCCATGAAGTAAACACGTAGCACTGCAATGCATGTTATGTGCATCCGTGTGATGTGGTGCCATTCATTCTGAACTGGACTCTAACACACCTGCTGACGGACATGCAGAGCAGAACTCTGAATTGCAAAATTGTGAGCTGAACTGCCATAAAACAGAGCATGCCCTATTTTTTTTGTCAGCGCACTGCCACGCCAAGCTGGAGCAGTTGTGCATTGAGGGGAATGTATCAAACCTGGAGCAGTTGTGCATGGCAACCAGTTTGTCTGTCTCATTTTGAAAGCTTAACTGAACAAACCTTAGAAGCTGATTGGTTGCCATGGGCAACTGCTCCAGATGATGCCTGCTCCAGATTCAATAAATTCCCCAAAAAGCAATCCCCCTCCATACAGGCGTTCTTCTGCATCTGTTTGTTTACATCCCAGGATTAGTAAAGCTCCCGCTGTACTTCGGATCCGATCAGCAGGGATCTCCAGTGACATAATTTACCATATATGGACTTTCCGATTTGTAGTAAATGCTGAAGAGAGAGAGAGAGCTCCTTCCCCTCTGTCATCAGCGATCCACGATCTGTCAGCAGAGAGAGAGGGGGGAAGGAGCTGGCACACGGGGACGTGCAGGTAAGGAGAGAGCTGCTGCGCATGTCCATATATTCGTGGACGCGCAGCAGCTCTCAAGAATCACTGTCAATCATCAGTGGGGAGGATCCCGTCAGATACGTCGGGATGTCTTCTCATTGCGGCGCTTAGCCCCGCCCACCACCTAAAATAAGGTTTTACAGCCTTACTGTGCATTTTGGCTAATTACAGTAAATTACATTATTTACTTATTTAGCCTAAGGAATGCATTCATAAAAAAAAGATAGAACCCCATAGTTCTCCTTTAACTTCAATGGGCACATTGTGATTCAATTCGATTATACCGCAGCTCACTACGGTGTGCTTAAAAAAAGGCACTGCACGCTACCACAACGCACCCATGTAAACTATGCCCACCCACCCGTGAAAAGGCAAATTGTTTTGTCTTGCATTATGGCGTGCCAGGAAAAAATGGCCAGCACAGCCCCAACAGCGGGCCCTTAACCCTGCACCATTCCCTGCTCCCAGGTCTTATTATTTAAACTACTGTCAACTTCTGGGGTCAAGGCCCTGCCCCCTTGGGGTTCCTAGGCCAGCTGATGCACTCAGGGGGCCCACCACTGGGAGGACCCATGACCAGACCAAATACCTCAGGAAATAAAGAAGTGGTTTCTTTATAGACTAAATGTGAACTTTAAAACATTCCAAACAGAGGTGCACTGACTGAACTGACTCAGCAGCTCCACATACAAAGGGTGGGCCTAGCACTGTTTTGAAAGCACAAAGAACAACACATCCCTTCACAAGTATTTCCTCAAAACCTCTCCCGCCCCCACCGACAGAGCTCCCTTCTACTACAGAGCTTCCGCCTCCTACAGGAGAACGCTGTAGCAGCAGACAATATGGCGGACGGCCTTCCCGCCTATTTACCTCACCATCCGCGGGGGGCGGAGCCAGCTGCGAGGGTTGCGAGCGCCGCTCCCTTCCTCCGGCTGTTTCTTCTATAGGGGAACATTGCGGGGGGCGGAGCCTGGCGCTCGGCAGCGGCTGCTTGCCATATATGGAGTAAGCTGTGAGCGCCGTCTGTGCCGTGGCGGAGTACACTGTTGCAGACCTCACTATGGGCAATGATGCTGATGAGCCCCGGGGGTTGTGGTCAGCAAGCATGGTGGAGGAGGGGGGTAATGGGAGTTCTGGTAAAAAAAAAAAAAAAAGGCATGGTGGGAGTACAGTTGGTGAATTATTCAGCATGAGAGGGGTAAATGTGACAAAATTGGGGTGGCTGTGGCCGACCCCATTGGCAGTAATGTTATAGGTAAGGTTGTAGGTGTGTGGTCAGGTAAAACCTGACGGTCTCTTTAACCACTTGATGACTGCTGTGCTACGCCCTCTTCCTGTCCCGGCCATTTTTCAGTGTTCAGCGCTGCGGTACTTTTATTCTGTCACGCAACGCTGTACTGAAATTACTTTCTTTAGAAGCTTTTTGGTGGTATTTAATCACCCCTGGTGGGTTTTTTATTTGTTACTATATAATGAAAAAATGTTGGGGAAAAAAACACGTTTTTTTTTATCCATTATGTTAGGAAACAATTATTATTACCCATTTTTTTGGTAAAATATAAAAGACGGGGTCACGTCGGGTAAATAGGCATCTAACATGTCAATCTTTAAAATTGCGCACACCCACGAAACCTCAAAAAACGACACTACCCAAAATTGAACCTAGTCGACGCTTTAAAAGCTTTTACCGCTCATCAGTTTAGTGATATCAGTGATTGATGGCCCTAAAATTATTTTAGTGCCAGTGTGAGCAAAATTATTGCTCACACTGCGACGTTTGCAGCGATATGTAACGTGTGGCGTAATGGGCAAAATTGTCGTTTTCGCACATGTGGGCACTCAACGCATGTTTGTGTATGTATGGGCGGGGACATTTTTGTGTTTTGTTTTTCATTCTTTTTCTTGTGTAACTTTAAAAGAGAACTATGGGGTAAGTGTTTTCCCCCATAGTTCTCCTAAGGGTTACGGGAGGACATAAACCAGCGTCCTCCCGTCACCCAAAGCTCAGTATATTGTGAGCTACGGCTCGCGGTATACTGAGACCGCCACAGCCGGGACGGATCCCGGCAACGCTGCTGAGATCCACCCAGGTGCGTGATTGACAGCTGGCTCTGCCTATCTAGAGGCCAGCTGTTCCTTCCCCGTCCGTTCTGCCAGTCAGCGCTGGAGGGGCATATCCCTGCAGGGAGCCGTGAGTGACCATCACGGCTCTCAGCAGGGAGATGATCGGGTAGTGAGCGAGCGACGGTATGTGTTCGCTCACTTCCCAATCTATTGAGCCGACGTGTGACAGTTTCATTGTCACACGTCGGCTCGCACTATGAGGTTGAGTTAAAATCACTCACTTCATAGTTCTCCTTTAAATATGTTTTTATGCAACTTAAATTTATTTTTGACAATTTTTTTTTTCCCACTTAACTTTATTGCTATCACAGAGGGGGATAAGAAGCCCCTCTATGTGATAGCAAAGAGGATGTGACAGGTCGTCTTCATGGAGGCATCAGGGGTCTCCAAGACCCCTAATGTCACCTAGGACCCCCCAAAGAAGCTGATGAAGCAAACACCTGCTTCACCAGCTTCTCTCCAGCGTCTGAAGCTGGAGAGTGACACAAGAATGTGGAAGTGATGTAATATACATCACTCCCGCATTCTGACAGCGGAGAGGGGACCGGAGGGAGATCATGTACCAATCTCCCTCTGATCCCCTGTGACAGAGCCCCCATGGTGGTCCCAGGCTCGCACAGGGCACAGCGGGAGGGGGGGAAACACAGATCGGCACCCCATACAAGCGATCCGCCGGAACTATATCGACGGATCACTTGTATGTTAACAGAGATCGCTGCCCATTTTTAAATTTTGGGACTTTCCCGCTCGCACGTGGGGCGCGAGTGGGCGTGGCTGAATGGACGTCTAAAGACGCCTGCTCAGATCTGGAGAGCTCCTGGCAGGCCGTTTTTTTTTACAACGGCTGGCTGGGAGGCGGTTAATTGAGACACCAACTCCCCCTCCACCTGTGGAGAAACTACAAATCCCATGAGGCACTGCAAGTCTCTGAAAGCCACAGGCATGACTCCCAGAGGCAGATGCATTATGGGATTTGTAGTTTCACCACAGCTGGAGGGCCTAGGCTTGCCTACCCCTGCAATAGACTCTCTGTAGTTATGTGAATCACCCGCAAGGCATACAAGTCATAGACCAGGTCCTACAAGTCATAGACCAGGCTCAGGACAGCACAGGAATGTTTTGATATTTATACATGACCCAAGAAAACGTATTTCTTATACAATGTCATTAATTAAAGGATGATTTTATCTTTAGATTCTCAGAATGATTCTCAATGTTTACAACTATGGCAGCAATTCTGCTGCAAGCTGGAATTCCGTAGCTGCTCGGGGACTTTTATTCTGGTCACTTAGCAACCATGTCAACAGCACCCTGGCAACCCATTACCAGTGGAAGAGACACAAAGTATACCTGAACTTCCCCCGTGTCCAGCACACAGGAAATTAAAGGATTTGTATGTGGCTTCTGGAGGGAAGTGATGCCGACAGCAATGACAGGATCCTGGGTAAGGGAATTCCGTCTGCTTAATGATCCTTGCACTGATTTTTTTGGGGAGGAGGTCATGTGACACAGACCTCCGGGAGACCCCACACAGACAGAATATCTTTCCTTAGAAATGTGTTAATCCTTTTATTACTTGTCGGGGAGGTTGTGGTGTTACCCACACATGCTAATATCCGGTTTGTAAGGTTCCCTATTCAGGCGACTTTTCAACTCGATCACTTAATGACCGAAATCTGCTTCCGTTTCATCAGATTGTTTTTAAAGTCGTATTTTGCATGACACCAAAGCTATAAATTTGATATTAAACACCAAGTGGGGAATTGAACGAATATGGAGCAGTTGCCCATGGCAACCCATCAGCTTCTCTCTTCAGTTTGTTCAGGTAAGCTTTGAAAATGAAAAAGAGAAGCTGATGGGTTGCCATGGGGGACTGCTCCAGATTCTGTCTGCTCCAGTTTTAATAAATTCTTCTCAGTGTATGCTTGCGGGTACTAGCAAAATGCACCCTTTACAGAACAGGTAAAGTTGTGGGACATCACAAGTAATGTAGCAGAAGTGTTTTTGAAGACATCATGTGCAGGAGAGGCGTGCGGAGGGTATGATAGGGGACAGCGTGTGCAGAAGAGGAGTTTGGAGGGTATGACGGGGCAGTAGAAGAAGGTGGAGGGTATTATGATGAACCTTATGTGCAGGAGTGAGATGTGGAAGATATGATGATGGGCAATATGTGCAGGAGAGGAGTCCGTAGGGCATGACGGGGGGCAATATGTGCAGAGAGGAGTGTGGAGGGTATAATGATCAGTGATATGTGCAGGAGAAGTGTGTGGAGGGTATGATGGTGGGCAATGTGTACAGGAGAAGAGTGCGAATAGTAGGATGATGGGCAATATGTTGCATTTGAGGAGGGCATGACAGCGGGCAGTATGTGCAGGAGAGGCGTGTGGAGGGTATTATGATGGACAATATGTTGCAGGAGAGGAGTGTGGGGGTTATGATGGCAGGCAATGTACACAGGAGAGGAGTGTGCAGGGTATGACAGTGGGCAGTATGTATAAGAGAGGAGTGCAGAGGGTATGATGATGGCAGTATGTGTAGGAGAGGAGTGCAGAGGGTATGATGCGGGGCAGTATGTGTAGGAAAAGAGTGCAGAGGGTATGATGATGGGCAATATGTGTAGGAGAGGAGTGCATAGGGTATGATGATGGGCAGTATGTGTAGGAGAGGAGTGCAGAGGGTATGATGATGGGCAGTATGTGTAGGAGAGGAGTGCAGAGAGTATGATGATGGGCCGTATGTGTAGGAGAAGAGTGCAGAGAGTATGATGAGAGGCAGTATGCGTAGTAGAGGAGTGCAGAGGGTATGATGATGGGCAATATGTGCAGGAGAGGAGTGCCTTAAGTTATTCAGCAAGAGCAGCAGAACCTGGGGGTGGATTGAAATCACTGAGAGCTCTAGGTGGTCATACAAGGACAATCAGGAGTGCAGTACCTTTCCAAGAGCAAGGAGAAACAAGGTGTATATATATATCTCAAACAATTCATCCCCTCACAGCTACCTCCTCATGTATTACTGGCCCCTCCCTTTTAGGTTGTAAGCTCTGAGGGGCAGGGCCCTCCTTACTATCTTGTCTTGAATTGTATTGTGACTGTAATGTCTTCCGAATATTGTAAAGTGCTGCACAAACTGTTGGCACTATATAAATCCTGTATAATAATAATAATAATTAAAAAAAATATATATTATATATATATACACACACCTGTTTGAGCTTGTTGACATCTCATTCCATAACCTTGGCAACTAGTATGGAATTGGCCAACCCTTTGGGGCCTTAACAATCTTTATTCTTCTGGGAAGGCTTCCAGCAAGATTTTGGAGTGTTTGTGGGTAGTTGTGTCATTCAGACTAAAGAGCCATTGTAAAGTCAAGTTCTGATTTTGAACAAGAAAACCTGGCTAAGTGTCCACAAGGGTAGGGGTCAGGGTAAAGTTTGTGATTTTCCCGGAGTTCTTCTTTACGTCATCACATTAAACACAGGTTCTGCCTTCAGAATGTCTGCCCGATTCCATGGATGACCCCTGCGGAATCAGGATATTTCTGTACCGAAAAGCTGACTGTTGTTCAGACGCCATTAAACATCCCCCATTCACGTGTTGCAAATAATCTGTCTAGTGTAATTAGGACATCAGGTTGTAACTCTGAGTATTTGCCCCCCAGCTTCCAGACAACACAATATTTTCCACCGTGAACGCCTTTTCGGATCATCCCTGGGAGCCGGTTCACGTCTGAGGCAAACAGCTTGAAGCCTCCGGGCAACCATTGTTCATGAATGTTTTACAAAATTATTATTAGAACCCCCGAACCGCGCAAATGGCGGCTTTAATTCCCAAAGAAGATTAGGATTCATAATTCACGGTGTAATTCCAGTGGCTCAAGGTTAAGTGGAGCATAATATATAAATAACAATGCTTTATGCAGATGATTAAGAAGAACTTATTGAAATGCACTTCGAATGTATCGCAGTTTCCTTTAATAGATGCCAATGTGCAAGAGGAAGAAACGCATGAATGATTTCCTGTCTTCCACTGTAAATGTGTGCGGTGACTGGGTATTGTACAGTATGGAAACAAAGGTCCTAAAAATAAAAGGGTCAAATAATTGATGTTGAGGTCGGTTGTGCACATTCCAGTCCTTTGTATGAATGTAAACATTTGTATTACCTGAGCATTAGAGTTGCCACCTTTTCTTCAAGTGAAACCCGAACACTCTAGCGTTGCACGCGGAAGATATTTTTTTTTTTTAGACTATAGAGGAGAGAGCGAGGAGAGGCAGCCAGGGGAGGGAGTAAGGAGACCAGGTATGGAGGACTACAAATACCAGCAATACCTCATACAGCAATACAAAGTAATATGAAGCTATATACTCTGTGTTGTTCTCGGTTTGTGCCCTGATGTGGCCTGTGCGATTCTCAGGTGGGCTGTGTGGCACTCAGATGGGCTGTGCGACACTCAGGTGGGCTGTGCGTCTCTCAGGTGGGCTGTGCGACACTCAGGTGGGCTGTGCGACTTTCAGGTGAGCTGTGCGTCTCTCAGGTGGGCTGTGCGACACTCAGGTGGGCTGTGCGACTTTCAGGTGAGCTGTGCGTCTCTCAGGTGGGCTGTGCGACACTCAGGTGGGCTGTGCGACTTTCAGGTGAGCTGTGCGTCTCTCAGGTGGGCTGTGCGACACTCAGGTGGGCTGTGCGACTTTCAGGTGAGCTGTGCGTCTCTCAGGTGGGCTGTGCGACACTCAGGTGGGCTGTGCGACTTTCAGGTGAGCTGTGCGTCTCTCAGGTGGGCTGTGCGACACTCAGGTGGGCTGTGCGACTTTCAGGTGAGCTGTGCGTCTCTCAGGTGGGCTGTGCGACACTCAGGTGGGCTGTGCGACTTTCAGGTGAGCTGTGCGTCTCTCAGGTGGGCTGTGCGACACTCAGGTGGGCTGTGCGACTTTCAGGTGAGCTGTGCGTCTCTCAGGTGGGCTGTGCGACACTCAGGTGGGCTGTGCGACTTTCAGGTGAGCTGTGCGTCTCTCAGGTGGGCTGTGCGACACTCAGGTGGGCTGTGCGACTTTCAGGTGAGCTGTGCGTCTCTCAGGTGGGCTGTGCGACACTCAGGTGGGCTGTGCGACTTTCAGGTGAGCTGTGCGTCTCTCAGGTGGGCTGTGCGACACTCAGGTGGGCTGTGCGACTTTCAGGTGAGCTGTGCGTCTCTCAGGTGGGCTGTGCGACACTCAGGTGGGCTGTGCGACTTTCAGGTGAGCTGTGCGTCTCTCAGGTGGGCTGTGCGACACTCAGGTGGGCTGTGCGACTTTCAGGTGAGCTGTGCGTCTCTCAGGTGGGCTGTGCGACACTCAGGTGGGCTGTGCGACTTTCAGGTGAGCTGTGCGTCTCTCAGGTGGGCTGTGCGACACTCAGGTGGGCTGTGCGACTTTCAGGTGAGCTGTGCGTCTCTCAGGTGGGCTGTGCGACACTCAGGTGGGCTGTGCGACTTTCAGGTGAGCTGTGCGTCTCTCAGGTGGGCTGTGCGACACTCAGGTGGGCTGTGCGACTTTCAGGTGAGCTGTGCGTCTCTCAGGTGGGCTGTGCGACACTCAGGTGGGCTGTGCGACTTTCAGGTGAGCTGTGCGTCTCTCAGGTGGGCTGTGCGACACTCAGGTGGGCTGTGCGACTTTCAGGTGAGCTGTGCGTCTCTCAGGTGGGCTGTGCGACACTCAGGTGGGCTGTGCGACTTTCAGGTGAGCTGTGCGTCTCTCAGGTGGGCTGTGCGACACTCAGGTGGGCTGTGCGACTTTCAGGTGAGCTGTGCGTCTCTCAGGTGGGCTGTGCGACACTCAGGTGGGCTGTGCGACTTTCAGGTGAGCTGTGCGTCTCTCAGGTGGGCTGTGCGACACTCAGGTGGGCTGTGCGACTTTCAGGTGAGCTGTGCGTCTCTCAGGTGGGCTGTGCGACACTCAGGTGGGCTGTGCGACTTTCAGGTGAGCTGTGCGTCTCTCAGGTGGGCTGTGCGACACTCAGGTGGGCTGTGCGACTTTCAGGTGAGCTGTGCGTCTCTCAGGTGGGCTGTGCGACACTCAGGTGGGCTGTGCGACTTTCAGGTGAGCTGTGCGTCTCTCAGGTGGGCTGTGCGACACTCAGGTGGGCTGTGCGACTTTCAGGTGAGCTGTGCGTCTCTCAGGTGGGCTGTGCGACTCTCAGGTGGGCTGTGCGACACTCAGGTGGGTTGTACGGCTCTCAGGTGGGCTGCTCAAATCTCAGGGCTGTCTGGGCTATGCTGTCTCAAGGAGTCAGGGACCCGAAGGAGGAGCAATCATAAATGCGGCTGCCGAGGTCCTCGGTAAGCGCGATCTCGGGTGGCCGCATCTGCCCGAAACCTGGATCTTCCTCTGGCTGCGTAAAGGTGCCCACAGCTCAGAGGAAGATCTGGATCTCCAGCGCTGGAGGGACTCCTGAAAACTACTGGAAAGAAGAAGGTGATCGGATCAAGAGGCATCCATTTAAGCTAAGTCCTTAAAGCAGCACGGGGGGATGTGACTTTATTGTCACTTTAATGTACCCCACACACCCCGGTTTTTATGCAGAATTTCCCCAACGGTAAAATCTGTAATTTGGTAAGCGAGATTAGTTTTGCCCAACTCCCTCCGTTCACCACTTCCTAGCAAATACTGTACAGCAAATGAAATGCCTGTGCTGATATATCTACAGATATGGAACGTAATAGAGATGTTACTTAATCTGCTTTATTGTAAAGCTCTCTCAAACCTTTGCATGTCAGCTGGGCATATGATGAAAATCTGTATCAGCAGAGGTGACCTGAAAAAATAATTTCAAAACTATCAGAGATATAAACTGATGAATTAATATACAAATCCTGACCTTCCCAGTAAAAGTCAAGCTTGAAAACCTCCCCCCCACCACCGCCACCTCCCTAGCCCCCATAGTGGAGATAGAAACCCTACATAGAGACAATAGAAAGACATAGGAGGGGATGGGTTCAACCATGACCCTAACCCATCTGCCTATACCGCCTAACCTCCAGCATCATTGGCAATGAGGGTGCTTTACTGCCTTAGAACCATTACATAGACTGGAACCCAGAAAATGGCAGCTTCCACCTCAGTGTTATCACACGGGCATTATGCGATTTTTGCAGATTCCCGATTGCCAGTCAATTTAACTATTTCATGTCTTTTTTTTCTTTATTTCAGTTCCCCAGCGGCTTTCATGGGCACTATAGAAGCCACCTTCGGAATGATATTTGCCAAGAATACCGTATGGAGGCCAGGCCTCCACCCCCGAAGGCCTTCGCCCAGCGAATTAAAGTAAGTAGGGCGGCATAGCAAAACTTTGTGTGACCTCGACATGGAAAGATTTAATGCAGAGTTGCTATAAAGAAAAGGATTGCTCGTAGCGACCAATCAGATTGTAGCTGTCATTTTTCCAGCGCCGGTTAAAAAAATGAAAGAATTCCACCTTAAGAAACACATTTTCCACGTTAGTATGGGAATTGCTAAAAACTTGTCAGTTGCTGCACGTACTTATCTGACTGCGATCACAATCATTTATTTATATGGCATCAGCGTATTTATTGTCAGTGTGTATTTTATCTTATTATGTAGTAAGGAATGTTCACATCAGTCCCGGCCCTAGTGGAGCTCCCGATTTAGAAGTCCTCCCTCAGTCTTACCATAGTACGAAAGTCTCATCAGTTTTATCCAAAACACCTTTCCATTTGTAGCAATGAACATAGCAAAGGACTAGGGATACACCAATACCGATACTAGTATCAGTATCGGTGCTGATACCGAGTATTTGGGCGAGTACTCGTACTCACCCAAATGCTCCCGATACCGGAACTACCGATATTAGGATGCCGGGCGGCGAGTCATTACATGCTGCCCGGCTATCTGATTGGCCGGAAAGGCGACTCCATGCTCCCTCGTCACTAGGGGGCATGGAGCTGGCTTCCCGGCCAATCATTAAAGGAGAACTATGGGGTTAAGGCTTTTCCCCATAGTTCTCCTTAGGGTAACGGGAGGACACAAACTAGCGTCCTCCCGTCACCTTAGGCTCAGTATACCGCGAGCCGTAGCTCGCGGTATACTGTGACACGGCAGTATGCCGCGAGCTGCTGCTCGCGGTATACTGAGACGCCGCAGCTGAAGCTGATCCCGACAATTATGTCGGGATCCGCCCAGCTGCGTGACTGACAGCTGGCTCTGCCTATCTAGAGGCAGAGCCAGCTGTATCTGCCCCGTCCGTTCCGCCAGTCAGCGCTGGTGGAGCGGGGAGGGGGGAATCCAGCACCTCCCCTGTCACAGCAGAGAGCCGTGACAGGATCGAGAGGTGAGCGAACGCCGGTATGTGTTCGCTCACTTCCCGATCTACTGAGCCGACCTGTGACAGTCTCATTGTCACAGGTCGGCTAGAACTATGAGGTGAGTGAAAAGCACTCACCTCATAGTTCTCCTTTAATGGGACTTCCGGTATCAGTATTCGGTAGGGATGCACCAATACTGATACTAGTATCAGTGCCGATATCGAGTATTTGGGCGAGTACGAGTAATGCTCCGATACCTTCACTTATACTGGAACTTCTGGTCAGAGGAAGAGTTCCTTTGACCGGCAGTGCCATAGGGGAACATGGAGCCGACTTCTCGGCCCATCAGAAAGACAGGTGGTGAGTAATGACCCGCCAACCGGCTTCCTGATTGGCCTGGAAACCAGCTCCGTGCCGATTGCCCTGGCGGGAAGCACCGGTATCGGTACTCGGTATCGGCGAGTACCGGAAAAAGAATATCGGTACTCGTACTCAATTCCGAAAAACTAGTATCGGTGCATCCCTACACAGGACAATAAATGTTTCCATTAATAAAAGAAAAAAAGGTGCACTAAACCTCATGACACTATGGGGGGAATTTATCAAAACTGGAGCAGACAAAATCTGGAGCGGCCGTGCATGGCGACCAATCAGCTTCTGTCTTCAGTTTGTTCAGTTAAGATTTGAAAATGAAAGAGAGAAGCTGATTGGTTGCAGTGCATGGTTGCTCCAGATTCTGTCTGCTCCAGTTTTGATAAATTCCCTTTTAGATGTTTATAGCCGCATCCACCAGCTTCCTTTTCACCGCTTTCCGAACTTCCGGTCAGGGAGCGTGCTTTGTAAACCTAATCACAAATTTCCTGATCAGATTATTCAGGACTACATGTCCCAGCATTCATTGGCACGTCCTCCCATAGGGAGGTACAGGCTGCTGCACACAATTACATGCAGCACCTGTCCCTCCCGGGATCGGGTCTTTGCACGGGCTTGCATGCTGCACGGATATGCACACCCGTGTAAATGAGTAAATCTTGGGGTTATATAGAAACATGGGGGAGATACACAGGTTACATGCAGATAGTGTATCTGGTGGTTTCCAGACCCAGAACCCCACCGCTGCAAGGCCACAGTGCTGCGGTAATTCACTTTTGCATTGACCTACATTCTGGAAACTAGCTGCAGCGCCCTCCTTCCCTATACTCTCTGATGTCTGATAAACCGCAGCACTGTAACTCACAGAGAGGTGTTATGCGTCCCACCTGTAAGAGATGAAAGCGTGAATTTAGAGAACCGTAGTGTCAGTACAGCGCTCTGATATGAATTATAAATCATCAGAAGTGGGTTACAACATCCTCACCTGCGTTCCATGCAAATAGAGCCAGCAGACGGGGCCCAGCCCGTGTCGGTTTTGCTTGACTGCCATCGCTGATTAAAGCCTCATGTTGAAAAGGAATCAAGCCTTTTAAAAACCGGCTTGTTGGGGTTTGCGTTCGGAACATCATTTGTTTCTTCAAAGCTTAGAGGCGACATGTTTGTTTACAGCCGCTAATAAAAATATTTACCTTGGGATATTGATTTGTATAACCTTAGACTGGTGTGTCCAAAGCAAAGATTCCCTAATAAGGATGTTCTCAACAGTTCTTTTTGTGTTTGTTCTAAGCCAAACTTCCTACAAACACATTACCCCTGCTCTGTTTTAAAGCTGAACTCCGGGCACAAAAACTTTCATTTAAATATCTTCCTCAATAGCCACAAAGGCTATAAATCTACTTTGTGTGCACCAAATGCCCAGTTATTACCCTATAAAAGTAGCGATGACATCATCACTGTGCTGTACATAACCTGTGCAGAGAACAGGGATGGCCCCATCTACTACAGGCATGACAGAAAGGGGGCGGAGACAAGACCAGTCAACCCTGCACAAGGAGGAAGAGCAGCAGTGACCGGTCTTTATTTCCCAATACGTACCCTTTATTTATTATGTTGGTGTTTTAAAAAACAAAGATGAATCTTGATGGGGAATGTAACGTCCTATATAGACAAATCTTTGCAAAATATTGTCTTTTGGGCTATTTATTGCTCCAAATGAGACACATTCCAGATATGGGGCATCCTAACATGGAAGTAAAACAGCACACGAGCACTTAGCTGAGATCTTTCCCTGATAATGTGAGCCCCGGATTATTCCATTTTAGGAGATGCAGACATGACCACACTTTCCGCCTCTCTCTACTTCAGAGACTAAGCAGAAGATGTTACAGATAATTGTGCAATTGCATTCAGCTTCTCTCCGCTCCAGATTACTCCATTTTTTTTTGCCTTGCATTGACATTTCTTAATGTTCAGCTACATTTGCATGCACTCACCAGTCTTTTGCATAGCTCAGAACTTTCGCAATTACCAGCAACCTAAATCGAAGTAAGTGGTGCTCTTCAGCTATTCAGCCGCTTAGTGTGCTCCAAGAGGCATCTCTGAGTGCAAAACACAAAAATTCAATTCTGAAATGTCATTAAAATAAGAAGGCAGCGACTTCCAGGCTCGGGGCAATGCTTGTAAATATTTGCATGTTGTACGGAGGCCTGTTGAAGCGCATTTAAGCGCTTTTTGGATGCATTTTACTTGTCAGTGATCAAATGCATGCATACATATTTCTGTTCAGACCATTACATTGCATGTGGTTTAATAGTGGTTAGTAGCAAACTATTATGGTTCTGGGTTACTTTTATAAAATGTATACATAGTCATGGACAAAAATATTGGCACCCCTGCGTTTCTGTCAGATAATGCACCACTTCATGCAGAAAATTGTTGCAATGACAAATGTTTCGGCATTCTCATGTTTATTTATTTTGTTTGTATTGGTATGACACAAAAAAGTGGAGGAAAGAAAAGCCAAATCTGACACATTCCACGCAAAGCTCCAGAAATGGACATGACAAAATTATTGGCATCTTCTCCAATTTGCAAGAAATAATTGCATTCCAAGTTTTTGTGGAAAAGCATGGACAATGTCAAGGTTACAAGTCCATCTGCAGAGATCTTAATGTTCCTGTGTCCACTGTGCGCAACATTGTCCAGATGTTTACAGCCCATGGCACTGTAGCTAATCTCCCTGGACGTGGACCAAAGAGAACAATCGATCAAAGATTGCAATGAAGGATTGCAAAATAGCGGGCTACTGGCCCACTATTTGATTTCCATGCTCATGAAATGTTCTGTCTCAAATATCACTTCATGCAAAAGACACATACCTCCTGAGACCCAGTCTGTAGGGACAGTACATCAGCTAAACTGATGGGAGTACAATGGAACATACCAAACATTAATAAATCAATACAATATAACAGGCTGTTGTGGTAGAACATAAAACACCAATGCCCGGAACCCCAGTGCATCAGAGCTGAAGTGATAACCATATATCATTGTGCTGACCCCTTGTAGTACATCTATATACATTTTGCACATAGATTTATTTCTTTGAGACATCTTCTGCGCTGTACTGTTGGAATTTTCCATCCACCGGGCTGCGTAATTAGGATTAGTTGTCATATGATTAATGTTCATTAGTGCTCTGTAATTATTACAACAAAATGATTACATGTTATAGAACAGTGCGTTTGTTCTTTGCCGCAGAATTCCATGGATTAGCTGATAAATTGGAGCGGTAGCAGTCGCTTGGCTTTTAATTACTTCTTAGATGTACGGTTTGATTATGAAGCTCCTGACAGGCATCTGCTGATGGGAAGCACATATGATAAAACATGAAAGCATATATACAACATTAAAAAAATGTATTAACGGCAGTTGCTAGAAGTGCAAAAATACATGTTTAATAATACAATTATTTCTTTGTAGCAGCACTTTAACATATGCATGCCGGAGAGACTGCAGGAGTAGAATGCGTATGGATATAAGTGGTTGGAGTTTGGTTACTCCTGGCTTCTTCCATCTCTTAGGGACTCCAGTGGTTACATTTCGATTGCATAGTTGGCTTTGTTCCAT